GAGAAGATCCAAGAGCCGAGACGACCCGAGGAGGCTGTGAATAGGGCTAAAATGACGTACGCATGGCCTAAAAGACAGGTACGAGCGCGTATGCGGATGACTTGCATCGAGGAATGCATGGACGTGATGCACGAGCGCACGAAGCGGCTAATGAAGATCGCACATGGAGGAGTGTGAGGGCACGCAAGAAGATGGTCTCAAGGCTAGCAACGCTCACACGCACGGAGAGGTGCATTGAGCAAGGGCGCGCACACGCGCATTGGTGTAGACGCGCATGGCGCTTGGAGGTTAGGCGAAGTAGTGCGCAAGGGGTGGATGTTGGGTGGTTAGTGCGCGAAGGAGGCTGCTGCGGATGGACGGGCAATGCGCAAGCATTAGCATGCGCGGATGGCAGCGGCGGGTGGGCAGCGGGGCGCGATAGGCGCGAAGGTGAGCAGCACGAGGGCGCAAGCCTAGGCCGCGTAGGCATAGGAGTACGAGGCAGACAGCAACACGCGCACGAGGATGCCAGCAATAACGGCGCGCGCGCATTGGCGCGCGATTAGAGCGCAGACGCGGGCGAAGTCTATGCCTCACGGGCATATGAGAGCTGGGCGCACACGCGCGGGAGGAAGGCGGCGGACGTTGGGAGCGCGGGATGGCGCGCGTGTACGATGCGGACGACCCATGCCGCATAGGAGTAGGAGAAGCAGGGGCGGCGGGCACATGCGTGCGGAGCAAGGCGCGCGATGCCGCGAGCGAAAGGGATTAGGCAACGCGAGGTCGGCGCGCGCAAGGGCGGCGTGCGATAGGGCGGCCGAAGGGTTTTTTGCGCATGACTTGGAGTTCAAGACTTTGGATTGGAGTGCAAGTCAAGCAAGAATAATTATAGTAGTATTATGATTTTATTACCATGTTGCTTTTCATTATAGAATTAGGAGATCTAGTTTAGTTAGGCTTAGATTTATCTTATGCACCTATAAATAGGGGTATCGCCTCATTGTTTTAAAGGTCTGGGAATTGATGAGTGAATAGAAAATGAACGTTTGTTCAAACCATGTGTTAGGATTCGTGAGAGTTTGATCATGCAATCGAATTGGTGAGGCTAAGACCCGAGCCAGTTCAAAATCGAAGGAGCGAGGCTAATTACCGAGTGAACTCAAGTATCGTGAGAGAGTTAGGCTAATAACCGAGTCGATCACACCTATCGTTGAGAGCAAGGCCGTGGCGACGCATTGTTCCAGGCAAGCGAGTGGAATGAAACACACGATCCTTCATCATTGGTGCTTTCATTGAGAGTGATTGATTGTGTGTTCTGTTAAACTTTTCCTATCCCATTCGTTTTCTTTTTGTCCGATTTTTTCTCCCTTTTGTTCGAATATTTTTTCGAATTTTTCTTCTTCTTTTTCGAATTTGTTCGAGAGTATCAAAAAAAAAAAATATGAACAGAGTCATGAGGTTCATACCATTGGATGAGATGGATTTGCAGGATCTTGAATATCTCGAAGGTTTGGAGAGGGAATTAACCCCTTGGGAGCAAGAGTATTTGGAGGAGTTGTACAAGCAAAGAGATCTAGAAGAGAAGCTCGAACGGAAACTCAAGATCATGGAGGGGTTCGTCGACGAGGAGCCCATATTGGCGTTAGATCTACCAAGCTATGATGAAGACAAGGTCGCCGAGTGTGAGGTCAACCAAGTCGAGTACGAGGAACCATCGTTCGCCGACGTGTTCATGGACGAGGAAGTGGCTCACATCGAGATCTTGGTCGTGGTCGAGGAGGGCCATGACAAGACGCACAAGGAGGGTAGTGCGGATGAAGAGGTGTTCGAAGTCGAGAACGAAGTCTTGGTAGAGATCTTTGAGGTCGAAGAAAGAGTGCCCGAGGTTTGGATAGTCGAGGATGAGTCCTTGAGGACAAGGACATTCTCAAAAGGGGCGGGAATGTTACAGAAGTGGGTTTCGAGCCCCAACGACGAGAAGATCCAAGAGCCGAGATGACCCGAGGAGGCTGTGAATAGGGCTAAAATGACGTACGCATGGCCTAAAAGACAGGTACGAGCGTATATGCGGACGAGATTGC